AATCCACCGTCTGGCCCGCGGAGATCCGCTCGCCAGCCGGCTCCTCCTGCCAGTTTCACAAGTTTCACGACCAGGGCGACTCCGACCGGTTTTCGGATAACAAAAGTCTGAGTCTTTGTTCAGTTTTGTTGTGCCTGGTGCGACACCGGTGTACTGGGATCTTAGCCCCCCCCGACACGGACAGATCAGGTGAAGGCCGGGTGGGGTGGTCTTAAAATTAATGAGGAGGGGAAAAAAAAACGAGGATCAGTAGTAAGTTCGATTTAAGGCATCACAGATGCTGTACATTTTAAAAGCACTAAAAATGAAAATGGCCGGGCCGAAACATCCCAGCTCCAGTTTTCCCCAACGCTTCCCTCGAGCTCGTGCTCCGTCTCGGTATAGTTTAAGGAACTACTTCGATCGGCACCAGGGTGACCATCGCTCACTTTTTTTTTTTTTTAATTCTCCAGCTCCTCTTATTTCTCTTGGAAAATGAGACGACAGCGGACAGGCAGAAGAGGGGGAAAAAAAAACAAGCTCGATCCCTTTTTCCGAAGTAGTTACAAAAATCTGGACGTGAAACCGGACGCCACTGGGCAGAACAGGCCAGGTTGCAGTGCCCCGTGTGTCCTGCAGGGGGCGGTCACGGTGCCAAGTGCCTTGCAGTGCCGAAAGCACATCCGCTGCTCTATCTCCTGCTGTCCACACGGGTGGGGGCACCACTGCAGCTCTCCTCGTAGCTGGGGGGCGGCTCTGGGGACGCAGAGAAGACAGCAGAGCGTTACAACAGCTACGCAAGACACGCAGGACTCAACTTGACCAACAACGCTCGCACCAGGTGTAGTGGAACTGTCCCAGGTCTATCGGGTCAACCTCAGCAGAGCTGGGCCGGGTCCCGGTGTGAATGGCAGTAGTTAATGTTGCCCCCTTTCTAAAAGCCAGCAGCCATATCACCTCATCCTGCTCAAATGAGACAAAAAAAACAGGGCCTGACTCTCTGTGGTCATCAAAAATCCCAGGGCGTTTCTCAAAAAGAGTAGGGGAGTTACCCCGGTGTCCTGGCCAAATTTCCCCCTGGTCTTTAACAGTCATGGCCTCCTAATAACCCCCGTCTCTGAACTGGCTCCATCCCTCTGCTCTCCTCCCCACTGAGAGCTGATGTGTGGGGGGGAGCGGACTGGCGCATCATCCAGGTGGGGCTGCACACTGGTGGCGGTAGTGGGATTCCCAGTTACCTGTGCAGCACTTTGAGTGGAGCGTCCAGAAAGGCGCTATATAAGTGTAAGGATTACAACTACAAATGCACGAAACCTGACTGCCACTTTGAGGACCTCTGAAAGGAGCCCCCCCTCTCTCTCCCTGTACAGGGGTACCCATGTCTCCCTGTACAGGGGTACCCATGTGCTGGGTGGCTCCAGTCCGTCGCCCGTTTTTTCCTTCAGTCGGGGCAGAGGGAGGATGGGGGGGGTGGGGACTCACCGTGCGGGTACCCCCAGGTGCTGTACTCGGGGGGCAGGATGAGCTGGCTGCTGGTGGGCACGGGGTCGACCCCGCCCTCGGCAAAGAAGGGGATGGTGGCCCCCGTGGACACGCAGAAGAGCGGCCCCGAGGGGCCCGAGGCGTTGCAGCGGCGCTGGTCCTCGGAGAAGCTCAGGCCGGGGGCGTAGCTGAAGGCGCTGGGGGAGAAGGAGGGCTGCCGGCCGCCGGAGGGGTCCTGCTGGGAGTGGCTCTTGGTGGGGATCTCCTCGTTCTCCAGCCCCGCCGCCAGGTCCTCCACCTCCTCGGCCGGGGGGGCGCTGGGCGTCGCCCCGGGGGCGGACCGGGGCGCCGGCG